ATATATATATATGGAACTCGATATCTCATTTCATCTACATACGGTTTCTAAAAGAAATCCCTTATATATGATATTGTTTCAAATTTCATTTTACTTCTAATCGATAATCGAACAAATCGGTAATTCAGTCACAATAATTCGAAAAATTTATTGTCTTCTTCAATTTTGAATCCGCGAGATGTCTATAAAAAGTCTTCAATAATGCCCATTTTTTGTTCATTCACGAAACTGCAATGAAATGTGAATTGCGAGTTTTGGATGCTAGGGCCCAAATGTATTCTTCAAATGTTCTTTTGCTGAATTGAATTGTGATATGTTCTTCATTTTATTACTAGCAATGACAGAATTCGCGGGGGGGGGGGGTCAATTCCCTTCCCCCTTCCACACACACACGTCATGATAACTCAGTTATGAAAACTGAGAACATTGTTAAGTCTACTACATTGTATAAATTAATTAAAATATGCAACACTAGTTTTATCATAGAATTATTTTTTAAATCTAAAACTAAAAATTTATTTTAATCATCTAACTAATTTGAGTTTTCTAATAAAACATTTGTACTCAATTGTAACAAAATACGAGCTTTATATTGAAACTGATCTGGACCTTTAATTTCCCCTCACCCCCCCCTCCTCAATAGTAGATCTGGAATTCGGCCACTGGCCATTTCTTCAACAATGGTAGCGAATGCGAGCGTCACGCGCGGAGAGGTTTGTCTTCCCGCGGCGACTCTTTGCTTCGCCCGCTGAGAGGGAGTGGTGGTAGGCGACACGCGCCGAGAGCGGCGCGCGGTGAGCGCCGGCCCGGCAGCGCGCCAGTTCACGGTGTGATGTGCGGGAAGTAAGATGGGTGAGCGCGACACGTTAAGTATCGGGCAATGAACGGGCGATTCCTCATCTTTTAAATTTCTCATGAGATAAATGCGTCTCCTTTTGGAGCAATTAAAGTATCTGCTATGGCTACGGAGTGGATTACTGCTATTGACAAAAGGTAACTTTCCTTTTGTGTCCTTCCCCTAATTGTGTTGTGCACTCGCTATTCTGTCACATGTCTCCTGTCAAATCTTCTATATCAATGTCTATACGTTCTTTCGAATCTTCTTACAGAGTGCATGAAATCTTTGTCGTTTATGGCTGATGCTCTTCAAGATTTGAGGAATGTCTCTGGAGAATAAGGGCGAAACTTAATACAATGATTTGAATGTGTCATTTCATGAAACTGCTTAAAGAAATTCACGAATTGTTAAGGAAATTGTTTGTAACGTCGTACTTTGATTCCTTTGAGATCTTCATCGGAGGAATTGCTACTGCAGTCAGCAGATCTGACATTTCGTGGCATTGATTTGTATCATTAAAAGTGTTTCTTGCGCGTTTCATTTTAATAACTTTTTTCTTTTGTAAAGGTGAACATTTTCCTTTAGGCTGTGACTGATAGTAAATGTAGCGTATTTCAGCTGGCGCACAAAACAATTTATTGCACCAAGTTTGTGACGGTATAATGGATATTCAGGAAAGCAATTAAGTAAATGTGACTTTTAATGTACTACACAAACAGAACAATAAATTTTTAGAAACCATATTATTTTTAGCCGCTGTCACAGTCTCCACAAACGTGAATTAAATTAACAAAAAAAGTAGTTAAAATAATAATAATAAAAAAATTAAACGATTTATTTGTGCCACAAAGAAAAAAAATGGCAAAATAAATTTCAAACTTGTTTGCCCATATTCACAGTGAATTTTCTAAAATGTCAAACTCTTGATGTTTAATGTTTTCTAAATATTTTTCATATAAAAGAATATAAAGAACTCCACTTTCCCTAAAAATTTATAATCACGAGAGATTATACGACTTACACATTTTTCAATATTTTTCGAGCGATTTTGTAACATCAATTGGAAAATTAGAGGCAAGAATCAGATATAAATGGTAGAACATATCTGAAGATCCGTTTCAGATAATATTTTAAATAGTTTGTAAGTGCTTCTATTAATTACGCGAGAACCTATTCCGCATTTTATTAAAATCATCAATAATTGGAATACAATAGAAATGAAAACTATTGGAAGTTCAAATAACATCCAATCTCGAGTCCTATGTCATCTTACTTGTCTACCACATGACTCAGTCAAAATGTCACCACTGTCAAAGCTGACAGTCTTCAACCAAATCATCTTAATATCGGAAAAAATGAAGAAGGGATACAACCATCACCAACGAATTATTTAAAGAATTTAGTTATCCGTCATGCAAATTCAACTTCAGAAAATAGTTTAATTTTATGAATGATGTTTAATTTTACCAATTTCCACAGAAGGGTTATGACGGCATCATGTGAACGTATTAGTATAAAAAACAACAGCATGCATTACAAGTGCGTGCGTAAGTTACCTCGTACTACTTTAAAGTTCCTTCTATAAATTCTATATTCCTCTCATTTCAAATTTGAAAAGGGTAATCATATTTTCAGTGTTAGAACAAGCTCTACAGGATCTGGTAAATTTTGGTTAGTTTCGAATGTTTTCCTGGTTATGGTGTGTGCTTAGGCAAATGAAAGTAAAAAGAAGTGTACTGAAAAATATTGGTTTAAAATAATGCGTAAAAAGATTTAAGTTAAAAGGAATCGTGTACAACCTATTGAGATGCTGTATTGTAGTGAGAACATGAAATGCTACCAATAAAAACCCATAAAGGGAACCTTCTCTGCCTGAAAATTCTCTAAATGCAGACTGCCGCTAATTATCTTCTGAAAGAGAGGGAAAGGGAACGCAAAAGAATGAAAAATTCCAGAAAGGGAACTCTAAAATATCGTATGGTGACGCAACCATTAGTAACATTCAATTGAATAATGTGCAGTGGTTATTGTGCATATAATTTATAATTTCAGTATTCTGTAAGTAGTGGTTATATACATTTCGCGAACATTTGTACACGTATTATAAATTTTCTGTAGGTACACAGTTCACAAATATTCAAAAAGTGTTTTCAAAAGAATTTCAATCACGTTAGATTTTAGTTGAAGCTTTCTTCTTATATGCTGGGACTATGAATGTAAGTATACAAATATATTTATCTATTTTGTTGTAAATGCGCTTACTTCCGAATTCAGCAAAAGCAAAAGATTATTATAAAGAATTTTTGCTCAATTCTAGAACGCTCTTGCTCAACGCTTTCCTCTTGCTCTGTTGCGATGTATTACGAATATTTTCTGATGTATTTGATGTTAGTTTCTCTTATTGAGTACTAGTGAACTTTCTGAATCCGTGTTCGAATGCTGCACGCTCATTTTGATAGTAGTTAAGCCTAATTTTAATCATTCATATTTTCAACTTCGCTTTATCTGTTTCGTAGTAACGCATTTTCATACATAATTGTTATCATGTTAGATACCAACATTTCTTGGGCTGTAAACTCCTGATGAGTTCAAGATGTGCGTAACATTTCCCACACCGATCATGAAAGTAAAATGACGAAGTGTTACTTCAATGGAAATATAATAGTTCTGCTAATTTCACCCAAATAAAATGTGTATGCCGAACTCACAAAATCGTGAAGTTCATGCTTATTTTCTCCATATTCTTGGAAAAAATAGCACAGAAAATGCCACAACATGGGAAATTTACCTGAGCGTCAGGTTAGCTACACGTTCACTTTTTATCTCTTATCAGAGAAATTAAAAATACCCTCACGCAATCGATTACAAGTGAACGAGCGCCACAACGTCCGTTTGATGGCCACCTGAAAAGTCGGATTGACATGGAAACAACTGGCCCTATTCAGCTGGGATATAACGTCACTCGTAACTTACCCTTGTGCGGCACAATTTTCCTTACAGTTTTGAAACAATAACAAATTTACTTTCCAAAAGAGAATCGATGAATAGTTGCGTATGTGCAACATTGCACTATAAACTAGTTTTGAATAATAAAGGAAAATTCATTTATCTTAGAGTCACGATAAGCTAAAGCTATTCAAAACCCCAGTCATATTTTCTGGGTTCTCTAGATGAAAGGGCTTTCCATCGCTGTGCTGTAGCATTACGGTATACAAAGAAATATCAGAAGGTGTGACGCAAGACAATGAAACGATGAGACAAGTTTCATTTAAGTTTAAGAAATGTAATAATTTATCCATATAATTACATAACTAAAAATTGCAAAATATAAATTATGCTTACATTCTAACATTTCTCTCGAATTAAATTACATATATTACGCCATTCTTCAAATTAAAAAAAGTTCGTTTTATTTGTCATAATGATTAGGTTGAATGGATGAGCCGAGAACTTTAAATTATATCGATCTATATTACTA